AATGGTGAGGAACCGGGACAAGCCCACTGGGCTTTATAAACACACAGGGACACGGACTACAAAGCTACACCGCGGGCTAACAAGAGACAGGCTAAATGCAGCTCATAGCAATTTGCTAATATGCGTTTATAATGTAGGTCCAACCTTTTTTTGTGTGTTCTCCCTCAGCTAGCACACCTGATTTAACTCGTTACATAATTAGACACCCCTTTTTAAGCTGAGTCAGGTGAGCTGGAGCAGGGAAAACGGCCTTCGCTCACCAAATCTGCTGCATTTATTCAGTTATTTTTCCTTTAACCGATGACAAAAAAGCTTGTATATATGTCTTCTGTCTGTGGCATTGTTGATGACATTGTTCACGTCTCAGGCATCTGAGAAAACTCAACATTAGAATAAATACAACCAAATAAATATACGATCTATTGTGATTGTTCTATGTGTAAATGTTTTCAAAGCTCTCCATATTCACAGTTACATCCAGTACTCGGATAATCAAATCAATCCTTCATTCAAACAAATCAGGAGATGTAACTGAATATATCCATGTGATGGCTGGAGAGCAGCTAGAAGTCAGGAACCAAACCTGTGTTCTAGGCATTCTTCTAATAACTTTACTGAGAACAACACTTTCTTGTTCTACTTTACTGTTTTTTATGTTTACCTGTATTTACTAATGTTATACAGTGTTTTTGCTGGTAAAAACACACTTATGGCCAATATTAATAGTTTTTCTTAGACTTCAGCACATACTGTATAGTGTATACTCACATATGTTATGGTCATATGTGCAGCAGCATTGGCTAAAGGCCTATGATGGATATTGACAATGACAGACAGCTCATTTGGAATGCCAAGTCACTCTGCTGTGTTTTGTTTTTGTTTTTGTCGTTTTTTTTATCACAGTTGAATGCAAAACTTTGAACAGTTGTCTGCAAATTTTTAATGCACTATTTATATTCACTCAGTTTTTATATTGGAACATAAAATGCAAAATGTACCATGATTTTTACACAATTTGTTTTTTTTTTCCCAATATTTTAAATCCAGCTGATAAACAGTAAGTGGCCATTAAAATGTGCAGATCTGTAGAGGATGTAGTAACTTTTTTTCACTTAAAAAAACAACAACATGGAATTTGACCAGGGGAGCTCAAACTTTTGCATATGACAGTATTTAATTCAACACTCTGAGCCAGCCTCCTTTTTCTGGTGATAAATGATGAGCTGTATATTTATAAATAAGTCAGTCTGTTTCAGATGTGCCTGAAAAAAAATGCAGAAATTCAGTTTGGTTCAGTTTTAAAAATGACAGAAAGATGTTTCCAGACTTAGTTATGTAAGTTGATAAACAGCAGAATTTTCATCATAGAAATTACACATCTGCAAATTACCCAGGCTTAGTGTGAAGGCTTTAAAACACGCAGAGAGGTCGGGAAGCCGCCTTGGACAACCTTGAGAATTTTTGGGCTGAATATTGGTGGGAATGTAGAGGACAAAGGTGGAGCTCAAATTAGGGGGCGCTGGTGCGCTTGTCAACATTGTCTGACCAACAACAAGCCTGTTGCCACTAATGTAGCGTAAGTTAGCATGGCTGGAAAGCGAGTAGAGTGCTGAGACACGACATGCAGTAAAAATCAGCATCACCTGCTACAAAGACAGTTCTGTTAGTTAATGCTAGCATTTTGCTAGCTGTCTTATTTTGCTTGTATTATTGACTGTACTCTGGACATTACAGAGCACGGACTGGAGGAATATGGGGGCGGGGTCCTATTGTTTGTGGTAGATTTTGCCACAAAGGTTTAAGAAGTTGTCCCTGGACGTGTACTCTCATTACGAGACGTGCTAGCCTTTATCACTTCAACTGAGAGCCACTGCGTTAGAAACAGTGCTGGCTCTGTGTGTCCATACAGGTGAGCATACCTCATTATTGGCCAGCTGAAACCAAGGCTGCTTGCCATACGTGAAGATTTCCCAGAGGATGACACCGAAGCTCCATACGTCACTCTCCGTGCTGAACTTCCTGTACATGATGCTCTCCGGTGGCATCCAACGAATGGGCAGCATCGTATGACCTCCAACCTATGACAACGTACAATAAAACAGCGGATTAGCACGTCAAAAAAGTGGATAATTTATCATTTTTGTATGCTCTGCCCATCTAGCTGGAAGCTTTTTAATACAAATAATTGTTTCAAAATGTCTGCTTTTGAAAATGTCTGCATAAATAAATAGTTGAGAGTCATTCAGAGTGGTTTGATGAGAAATGCGGTCAGACTTGTTTACAGTGGTGGTGATAGGAACCAGACGTCCACCTCTAAAAGCTCCCTCACAGAAAGTTACTACAAGAAATGGTTATGAATTCACTGCCTGATGACTGACATTGTTTTACGATAGTTTTGAGAAGATTTCGGCCTAAAATGTGTTTAAAAAGCCAATCATGTGTGTGGGGTACAGGGCAGGGTGTTGTTCGGCCCCAACGAAGACTTACCAATCCACTTACAATCATCAACATCCCATACAAACACTCAGAAGACTCGTGTAGGTTCACTGGTGGTTTTGGATAGTAAATAAAATGGTTATATTTGTGTTGCGGAGTCAGTTAGTTTCTACGATTAACCTAATCAAACAGCTCTGAATGACTTTGTTTACATTTCAAGCACTGAATTATGCCTAAGCAGGTTTATTCAGATGAAAACAATAACAAATATTTGTACCCGTGCTGTTTTTTTTTCTCACTTCATTAAAATGTAACAGTGTGAAAAACTTTCAGCAGCCAAAGTGTCCCCAAATATTTGATATGCAGTGCATATTCAGACAATACTACTTGAAGCTGGACGAAGAAGCCATGTAAACAAAATACTGAATTCCTCTGATCTGAGCTCAAGGTTGAGCCGCTGGTCAGTTGTTTGTGTTTAGTATTTGGTCTGTTTGGTGCATATTCCATCATTTTGTTTGTTTGGTTTTTCTTAAAGTGGCAAGAGGCCACATTATTGGCTCTGTGAGGGAAAAATCGATGAGAAAAGAGTGATTAGTTCAGCTTTGCGGATGAGGAGGCAAAAGGACGCCCTGAGAGGGAGGAAAAAAGAAGAGGAAATGAGGGAGAGAGAGAGACAGAGAGACAGAAAGAGAAACAAGATATATAGAGGAAAAAAAACCTTATCCATTAAAGAAGTTTGACAGCTTCAAACCACTGAGAGATATAAAATGAAGTGTCCCTTCAGGCTTCCCCCCAGCCAGATATTAATCGATTAAAACAACGTGGCATTAATCATCGCTGCCCCAGGCCTGCGTCGGACTGAATTGATTCAGAATCTATTTCCTGCTGATGTCAATGGCACTGTGTTAATTATATCCATGCTAGGATGAACTGGAGTGACGTTTCAATGGCGGCGGCGCGGTTATTGCGGCTTTCAACTCTTAAGTGGTGGCTGCGTGTTAATTACAAAGCTCATTAGTGCAGTTCACACACCGTGCCTGGGCTTTCAGCTCCACACGAAGACATGAAGACACACAGAGCTCTACTGTGAGGCAGTCTCGGTTTGTATATTATAACGACTGTGTATTTGACCTGATTTATATGCTACATTTTATGTTGTAAGTGAAAGAGGGATACCGATGTTGCACCGGAACCCTGTTCTGGAGATAAAAGTCGGGGTAGAATGCTGTTCTGGCTCAGATCTCCAAAACCTAGGTAAGTATTTTTAGGAAATGTGTGCATGAAGCGAAGAGCCTACAGTCCATTCAGCCAAACGAAAGTCATGGTGCTGCAGCAGGCCAGTGATGTTATAAACGAGACTGGCCACTGGTTGAAATATGAGTGAGAAGGGCTCTCGAGTGTTGCAACCATCTAAGCGTTGGCCCTGTCGTCAGGAGATTGTGAGTTTGATCCCGGGTGATGCTTCAGCCTTTCGTGGCCGAGAGTCCATTAGAGCACAATTGGCTTTGCTGTCTCTGGATAAGATGGCCTCGCCTCTCCCCCCATCTGGCGGTTGGCGCTTTCCTCTGAGCGCGCTCGGCTGTCCAATGACGTTGCGTGAGCAGCAGTTTGAAAAAATGCGGTGGCACTTCACAGGACTCTGTGCTGGCCATCCTAACTAGTGGGTGGAACTCGATATAAATAAATTGGGAGAAAATTGGGGCAGGCTTTAAGCAGGCTCTGTCCCACTTCATCTTCAGGTTTCTTTGTTAAGTTTTGGATGAAATCAAGGTTTAAATTCTTGAGGTACTGGAAAATTGACCAATCAGGATTGTTTTTCTCCATGGTAGATGATTGTTTCTCCCATTGTTTAGGACTTCATGAGCCGTAAAGAGGTCCTAACATGTTAGATTAACTATTAGCATAATTATAAAGTGACGGACAAATCAAACAATCACATTTTAGTTTCCAAAAAGTGGGACCAATTTTGTGCAGGGAAAATGTCACTCAAGGCCTGATGGCAGCCTGACCAGTGGGTTGTTACAAATGGAAAACAGCGGCGGCAGCTCCACACTAGAGCTCACTGCTGGAAGAGTCACTGTGAAACAACTACAAGGTAAAATATATGCTATATCTCAGCCACAAGCTTCAAGAGAAATATAAAATGAATTTCAGAAGCTTCGAATGTCTGTCTTTAACTAGAACATCTTTTTTTCTAATTGTCTGTCCCACCTTAAATGCTGCAGCAGTTACAAAGTGGTACCTAAATGCAGCTGAATGTAATTTCTGCACCATTTAAGGTGGGACAAAAAAGTCAAATAAAAAGTTTACAACCTCAGCCTTCACTTCACAAAGTGTTCATGCAAATCTCTGTTAGCTTAGTGCTAACAAACTACTAGAATCCTATAGGGGTGCTAGCAAAAATGAGCATTTTCATTAAGGAGGGTTTTGACATTTATGGCCCAAATTGAAGGCGTAGCTTTAATAATCATGGCTCACCACTGGATGTATGGTAGCATAAAGCAAGCTAGCCTGATAATGTCAGTGTTTGGCAACAAACAGCGACCACATCTGGCAACAACGTTCAGGAACCACATCTGGCAACAACATTCAGCAACCACATCTGGCAACATTTAGCAACTACATCTGGCAACAACATGCAGCAACCACATCTGGCAACAACACTCAGCAGCCACATCTGGCAACAACATACAGCAACCACATCTGGCAACATCATCCAGCAATATTGCCCGGCAACCATTGTCTGGCAACAGCATCCAGCGATATTGCCCGGCAACCGTTGTCTGGCAACAGCATCCAGCAATATTGCCTGGCAACAGCGTCCAACAGCATTCATCAGCACTATTAGGCAACAGCAACTGGCAACACCCAGTAACTTAGAGTAACAGTGTCCTTAAACAGCGTCTTAAACAATGCCTGGCAACAACACCACAGGGAGCAGCATCCTCTTAATTGAACAAAAGTGGCAGCTTAAAAATGCCAACCAGCAAATCTTCGCTTTAATGAGCTGAATATGTTTTATTATCGCTTAAATAAACATGAATGAGCTACACTGCACACAGAGAAAAAGGCTGAGTAAATTTCGTTATTACCACCCACGGTAATATAACAGATCTCCAAATACACTGACTGCAGTTCTCCCAGCGTCTGTGAGGAGAGGACGGGAGGAGGACAGTGAGGCGGGCTGTAATTAACAGTGTGGATGCTGTGGTGTGTGGTGTGTGTAGTGAGGAGCCAGTGAGGCTGATCAGCCACGCTTCTCTGACCTTCAGTCACAGACACAGTCCAACTAGCTGGAACAAACAGGCCCAAAAAGATCCCCCTCTCCCTCTCTCCATTCCTCCCTCCCTCCCCAGAGCTTCGGGATGTGTGAGGAACATGTGGAGAAGAACCAACACTCCACCACTTCTGTGAGATTGACTTCAGACTGAATCCAAGCCTGAACAAGAACAAAGGCATCCGTCTGAATTAGAGCACAGAGTGGCTGATTCACAGGAGACAGAGAAGAGGAGGGAGAGAGAGAGAGAGAGAGAGAGAGAGAGTGAGAGAGGGAGAGAGAGAGAGAGAGAGAGAGAGAGTGAGAGAGGGAGAGAGAGAGAGAGAGAGGCAGAAGAACAACTGAAAAAGAGAAGAAAGAAAGAAAGAAAGAAAGGCAGACCAACAGAAAGAAAGAAAGAAAGAAAGAAAGAAAGAAAGAAAGAAAAAGAAAAAGAAAGAAAAAGGGAGAATGAGAAGAGATAATGAAGGGGAGTAAGAGAGTGAGAATGAAGGCGAGAAGCAGAAGGAGAACACGAGAAAGTAAGAGAAAGAAGGAAAGAAAGAAAAGACAGAGACATGCAGAAAGAGAAGAGAAAGAGAGAAAGTAGAGAGGAGAGGTATGAGAGACAGAGAAATAGAGAGAGTGAAATAAATAAAAGAGGGAGGAGAGAGAGAGACAGGATGAGAATGAAGGAGAGAGAGATTGAAAGAATGAAGGAGATAGGCAGAAGAACCAAGAAAAGAGAAAAAAGAAAGAAAGAAAGAAAGAATGAAGGAAAGAGGAAGAGGAAGGAGAGGGAGAGATGAAACACAAAGAAGGGAGCAGAGAGTGGAAGGACAGCGATAAATAGAGATAGAGAGAATGGATAGAGGCAGAAGAACATGAGAAAAAAGAGAAAGAAGAAAGACAGAAAGAAAGAAAGAAAGAAAGAAAGAAAGAAAAAGGGAGAAAGAGAAGAGAGAAGGTAGAGAGGGAGAGGTATGAGAGATAGAGTGAAATAATAAAGGGAGACTACTGTAAAGTTTTCAGATAATCCGGTGCTTAGTTACAGTTTCTAGACTATGAAGGGCCAACTGGGAGAACCAGTCTGCTACAGCGCCACCCTGAGGCAGAGCAGTGCTGCAGTTACAAACACTGTAACTCTGCCTGGATTCCTCTGAAACTCTTCACCATGAGCTGCAGCAGATCTGTAAATTTGAAAACTCGCCCAGTTTCCCAAGAGACTGTTCCTCATTTCTCACACTGAAGACAGAAGAGGAGACGAGGAAGATCTCAGTTAATGTGAGGAAGAGCGCAGAACCGCTCTAGAACAGAGACTTTACAGAAGAACAGCTGATAAAACAGACATTTTATTGCCATTGAATCATCAGTACTGCTATGGTG